GTTTGTGTGTGTGTGCACCCTGTGTACCCAGTGCTCTTGGAGATTAGAAGACGGCATCAGATCTCCTGGAACTTGAGTTGTGATTTTTTTTGAGCCATCTAGTGGGTGCTGGGAATTGAACCCACGTCCCCTGCATGAGCAACAAGTGCTCTTAACTTTTAAGTCACCTTTCCAGCTCCTGTAGTTTTAAAAATATATGCTTCTTTATTTCCTATTGTCACAAATCTGTTTAGTGTACTACATATCATTGTAGTAAATGTTTGTATTTTTTCTTCAGCCTCGTGATATCCTTTGTGGGGCGGCTGATGAAGTTCTGGCTGTCCTGAAGAATGAAAAGCTTCGAGATAAGGAGAGAAGAAGGGAGATTGACTTGCTGCTTGGTCAGACAGATGATACCAGATACCATGTGCTAGTGAATCTGGGCAAGAAGATCACAGACTATGGTGGAGACAAGGAGATCCAGAATAAAGGTCATTGTGACCTTTGTGTCCTCATCATATTTTGTAATGGTTTTCGGCTTTCTTAGTGAGCACTCAGCATCATTATTAAAATAATAGCATTGTTTCCATAACCTATCCTATGTTGGTTGAAGAGAATAGCCAATATACCAAATCTGTTGGTACAGGCTTATAATCCCAGCACTCAGGAGCTAGAGGGAGACAGCTGTCTATGAGTTCGAGACCAGCCTAGTTTACATACTGAGCTCTGGATAGCCAGGGCTATTTGGTGAGACTTTTTTTCAAGACAGGGTTTTTCTGTGTAGCCCTGGTCCTGGGAATGAACTCAGCACTGGGCAGGGTGTTAAAGAACTCACAGAGATCCACCTGCCTCTGCCTCCCAAGTGCTGGGATTAAAGGATTAAAGGCATGGACCACTACCACCTGGCTGAGGCTCTGTCTTCAAAATAAAAAAATAGACAAAACAAAATCAAACTTACTGGGCTATACAGTAAGTTCAAGACTAGCTCTGGACAGTGTAATTGTCTGAGGACACTCCACCTCTCCCCAAAATGTGTAGAAATACCATGAAGCCCTGGTTCAGATCTGAGCAGACATACACAAATGAACTGTGGTGTGCCAGCATGATGGTTCAGCAGGTAAAGGCATTTGGCATCAAGTTTGAACTGAGTTTAACACCTGGGACTCACTGAAAGAAGGAAAGAGCTAACTCATGCAGGATGTCATGTGACCGCCATAGGTATACATACCATGTTACTTGTGTGTATATGCCCAAACGCGCACACTCGAAACATGAGCACAAATAAATATGTGATCCATTACTGAGAGGTATTATCTAGGTTAGGTTAATTGAGGTGGAAAGACCTAACTTAATTGTGAGCAGCACCACTCCATGGGGTAGAACAGAATAAAAAGAAGGTGAGCACTAGCATCGTCTCTGCCTCCTGACCATGGGTGTAAGGTGACCAGCTGCCACAAGTTCTGGCTGCCATGACTTTGCCATCACCAAAAGACAGGACCTTGATCAGGGAGCCAGAGAGCCCCTCCCTTCAGCTGCTCTTGTTGGGGGTTTCTTGCTGCAGTGAGACAGGTGACTCACAGCATGTTTTCCTTCTTGGCACACTGACTGTGTTGTTTCTTGGCCTTAGCTTTGTTCTTTGTTGTTTTTGTTTGATACAAAGACTGAATTCTGTCTTCCTACCTGATAATTTATCTTTTTTTTTTTTAATGTCAGTATCAAGATTTCTGTATTTATTTACATTGGTGGGTGTGGAGTTCTGAGGAAAACATTTGTGAGAATTGATTCTCCTTCCACCTTGTGGGCATTGGGATCAGACTTGGTGTCTGACTTGGCAGTAGGAGCCTTCACCCACTGAGCCATCTTGCTGACCCAGTGTAGTGTCTGGGAAACTGGTACACATTTGCTCTTCTTTCTATATTGGATTCCATTCTAGAAATGGAACCCTGTGTTTCTAGTAACTTTTGAAAACCATTGTCCTGTGGGTGTGTTTATGTGTCTTCACACCCCCCACCTGCATACATTGCTTATTAATCTTACGTCTTTCTCAATAACAATCTTTGCCTGCTCTTCCCCCTGTCCTAGTAGGGAAAACTCGGGGAGCCAGAGCCTGAAACTTCTCTCCATGTGCTGCCAGTTCCTGGCACTGGTCGCAGTAGGTTAGTGTGGACTCGCCCCACTCTGGGTATGTAAGAGGGATTTGCATTGAAGCTTCTGCCCGTGTCATTGTGGAAAGCAATTCTGTGCCAGGTCACCCACATACCTGGGCTTCCCTGTGAAGAGGCAGGGTGGTGAGGCGAAGATGTAGATAAGATTTTGATTTTCTGAATTCCAAGTTACCTCAGTTTTGTTTTTGTTTTTTTTTTTTTTTGACACAGGATTGATTTACTGGGATTGTTTTGTGAAAATCTTAATACATAGTTAAGAGTGAATAAATATTTTTTATGAGTTTTTTGCTGTTTCTTTTATTTTTTATATATTTGAATTACAAACAAGATTGAATTACATGGTGATCCCAGTTCCCTTCTCCCTCCCTTCCTCCTCTACCACGCCCCCAACTAAAATCCTACCTATCCTATGACCTTTCTTCTAATCTACACCTGACTCAACCTTTCTGCTCCCTCATGACCTCTGCATCCTTCCTTTTCTTCCCTTCTCACTCTCGTAGCTTCCTCCCCCCTCTTCCCATGCTCTCAATTTGCTCAGGGGATGGTGACCCTTTCCCCTTCTCCAGGGGACAAAGTTTGTCACTTTTAGGGTCTTCCTTGATTACTAGTATCTCTGGCAGTGTGGATTGTAGGCTGGTAATCCCTTACTCTATGTCTAAAATCCACATATGAGTGAGTACATACCATGTTTATCTTTTTGTGACTGGGTTACCTCGCTCAGAATGGTTTCTTCGAGTTCCATCCATTTTCCTGCAAATTTCAAGATTCCATTGTTTTTTTCTGCTGAGTAGTACTCCATTGTGTAAATGTACCACATTTTCTCTATCCATTCTTCGGTTGAGGGGCATCTAGGCTGCTTCCAGTTTCTGGCTATTACAAATAATGCTGCTATGAACATGGTTGAACAGATGTCCTTGTTGTATGAGACCTCAGTTTTTCATGGGTTTTTAAGCCTTTCTTAATACCCTGTAAAAGTAATAAAATAATTGTATACTATTTTAAAATTTCTTTTACTTAGTTGTGTGTGTGTGTTTATAAATGTGTGCATGTTAATGAAGAGGCCTATATAGGCCAGAGGAATTATTTCCCCTAGAGCTGGAGCTATAGGTGTTTGTGAGCCACTTTACATGGTGGTGGGAACCAAACTCGGGTCCTTTGCAAGAGCAGTGCCTGTTGTTAACCACTGGGACCCCTCTAGCCCCTTGTTCTTTGTTTCTGTGACAGGCTCTCAATGTAGCCCAGGCTGTCTTCAGAATTCTGTTCCTCCTGCTTCTGCTTTGCAAAGTGCTAGGATTCTAAGTTTGTGTCAAGTGTTTGTAGTGCCAATAAGAAAGACTGAGGGGCCAGCAAGAAGGCTGGGTGGGTAAAGGTGTGTGTTTCTCAGGGTGAAGACAGACCTGTGAAGACAGACCTGTTCAATCCGCCCAGAATGGATGGTTGGTTGTTTGCTTTGGGCTTTTGCGGGGAGGTTGGTTC